TTATTATAGCACTTACTATGGTCCTTAGATTTTAAAAAATTTTTTTTATCCGAATATATTTTCAAATTCAGCAATCCAATTGGTAGATTAGATACCCGTCGATCACGTGATTTTTCCAAATCTGATAACCCCTCAAAACCGATACAGTACTTATCCACTATGCATACCGGTTTGGGGAGGGCCGACAGTAAATAAATAAAAATTTAAATTAAAAATTATTATTACTTTGCCTTTTTGCTATTCCAATGCAGCTTGAATTTGTCTTTTAGTTATATGGCGATTACTTAAAACAAGTTGTGATAGATGATCTTGTACTGATTCATCTAAGATTAGTAGTCTTCCTCGATGATTCGGTAATATTTGAGATGGGTTTTCAAGTCTGTTTAGCATATTTTTAACTGTCTTGGGATCATATCTGACAAGTTTGGCAATTTGTCTATACAACTTATCTAATTTTCGAGCAGATATAATTTCTTCACGTTTTCTTTCAGTAAGTGTCATGATTTAAAGCTATAAAAGTGCTTCAATGAAATATATTTATATTTGTCAAATTTCTAATTAATAATTATGATTAATTTATTTAGCTCAGTTAAAAAAAAAACTTACCAAATAATTACAGTATAAACACGCAATAAGATTTGTAAATTATGCATGTGGCATTAGAGTGTTTAAAAATATTAGTAAATCAAATATTAATCAGGGTCGCATATGATGAAAATCTGAATTTACTGCAGATAATATCAGCTTTCGGTATGCTTTTCTCTTGAGCTAGTATAATAATTAATATTTAATTTTTTTAAAAAGATAGAGCAAATTGTATACTTTAATGTAACAGAGCTATTTTTTTCGATTTACACCATTTTATAGTATAAATAGTGTTAATCAAAAAAATGGCTCTGTTCATTAATATATATGATTTGCTCTATCTTTTTTTTTAAAAAAAAATTAGAGATTAATTATTATACTAGCTCAAAAGAAAAGTGTACCAATAGTTGATACTATTTGCAATAAATTTAGATTTTCATAAAAAATTTATCATATTAATACGACCCTGAGTAATGTTTAATTTACTAGAATTTTGAACACTCTAATGCGACATATATAAATTACAATAAAAAGTATGATTTTAATAAAACTTAAATTTTTAAGTACTATAATTATTCAATTACAAAT